CTTTCTGAGTTAGAGGAAGTCTCTTAAGCAAACAGGAAGCACAAGAGACACCCATCAGCTGGAATTGCTCACCCTTTTACCAGGAAGGATAAAAAGTATGTAGTGGTAGGGCTGGGGCTCAGCGGTATCGCACTTGCTTGGCATGTGTGAGTCATTGGGTTCGATTCTCAGCACCACATATAAATAAATAAAATAAAGGTCTATCAACAACTAAAAAGAGGGCTGGGGTTGTGGCTCAGCGGTAAAACCCTTGCCTAGCAAGTGCAAGGCCCTGGGTTCGATCCTCAGCACCACATAAAGATAAATAAAATAAAGTATTGTGTCCGACTACAACTCAAATAAATATTTTAAAAAAAAACAACTAAAAAGATATTTTAAAGATAGTGGGTGACTTCATAGATTATGGAAAGGTGAAAATTTCTTTTTTTAGTACTGGGATTGAACTCAGGGGTTCTCAACCACTGAGCCATATCCTCAGCCCCTTTTTAAATATTTTATTTAGAAACAGGGTCTGGCTAAGTTTCTGAGACTGGCTTTGAATTCCAGATCTTCCTGCCTCAGGCTCCCGAGCTGCTGGGATTACAGGTATGCGCCACTGTGCTTCGCAAAAGGTGATTATTTCTAATGGAGACTGGGGACGGGTGACTTTCCAGCAGTATCTGGTGTCTTGAAGACTTCATTGTTGAGTGAAATCAAGACCCCACCCCAATCTGATGCCATGTATTGTCCTTGACACTGATCAGAGTGCCTTTCTATCCTGGATTACATATTTCTTTATCAAAGCTCTCAATACTTAAATCAGCTACTTAAGATCACTTGGGGAACTTATTTTAAAAACATCGAGTTCTTGCCAGGCTTGGTGTAATTCCAGTAACTCGGAGAGCTGAGGCAGGAGGATCTCAAAAAATAAAAAGGTCTGGGGTTGTAGCTCAGTAGTAAAGTGCCCCTCGGTTAAGCCCCAAGAATGAATGGATGAGCCAGGTGTGGTGGCACATGCCTATAATCCCAGCCGCTTGGGAGGCTAAGGCAGGAGGATCTTGAGTTCAAAGCCAGTCTCAGCAATTCAGCAAGGCCCTGAATAACTCAGGGAAACCCTGTCTCTAAATAAAATACAAAAAAGGCTAGGAATATATGTTCCTCAGTGGTTAAGCACTCCTGGGTTCAATACCTGGTATCCATCTCCCTACCCAAAAAATGGATGGATAGATGAAAGAAAGAAAGCACTGGGTTCTGGACTCTTTCTCTAGAGTGACCAGTTTAGTTGGCCAGTGTTTTTTTCTGAACACTCTGGGTGATTCTGATGAAAAAAGTTTAAAAAGCACTGATCAAAGTACTTCTAGTGTCCAAAGTACAGAAAACTCCAGAGCATGAAAGAACAATATCCTACTATTTCTTCTTTTCTTTCTCTAGTCACTCTCATCCCCAGAGCAGCCTGTGCATAGAACCAGTGTTTAGGAGTTCATATCCCTTCTGCCCTCTCACATGCACCATTGGAAAAGATACCCTGAATAGGGTACCCCTAAGTCCTTGCACTCTGTCGCTTTTCTTGTGGAAGATGTGAGAATGGGACTGGTGCCCATTCGCAGGGGCTGCTGAACCAACCAGGATTCTGTTTAGAGGGTAGGGAAGTGGGGCACAACAAGGAGAGTCTTGCTGTAGGCCTGATGCTCAGTTGCTACCATTATACTTGGAGGAGGGGAGAGATCTTTGGCCCCTTCTGTGTCTTATAGGCAACTTTGACTATGCCTTTAGGTCTTTAGGAGAATTTGACTTTTGACTCTAAGACTACTTTTACTATGTCATTTTAAAAAACTGCTTTAAAAACTTGAGTTGTAACAATAGGTAATTTTTACCATGAGTTCAAGAGCAAAGATTTCTATTCTTGGGAGGCAGGACAGCTCAGTATGTGAGTATGAATTCCTTCACCTTTGCTACCTGGCAGAGAAATGTCTTCAGTTTCCCAATCTTGGGAAAGAAGGGCTAAGGCTTCCTGGGGCCCTGGGTCTGACCTTTACCTGACTTAATTACCCTCATATCTCCAGGTCCCCATTGGCAAAGTCATCTTCCTTAGTGCTTTATTGTCTAAAAAGGTTGGACACCACTGCTCATGTGATCAGTAAGTGGGGCCAGGAAAACCATGAGGCAGCAGACTGTAAAAAAATGCTGGGTCTGCCAAGTGTGGTGGCATATGCCTATAATCCCAGGGACCTGGGAGGCTGAGGCAGGAAGATTACCAGTTTGAGGCAAGAATTTAGCAAGACCCTCAGCAATTCAGCAAGAGTATCTCAAAAAAGAATTTAAGGACTGGGGATATAGCTTAGTGATAAAGCGCCCCTGGGCTCAATCCCCAGTACCCGTCCCCAACCACCAAAAAATAAAAAAAGAGCGTGCTCAGGTGTCTCTGGAAGGCAGGATCAGTGTGAGCAGGAAGAACATGTCAACAGTCAGTTTATGGCAGATGGAGCCTGTCTTGGTTCCCTGGGGAGGCCTGAGTCTGTTAACCAGTAGTCTTAGAGAAAGTATTATAATTGATCATGTCAATGTTATTAGCTGCTGATGATTCAACAATACATGTACAAGACTCTCGGTAGATGCTTTCATTAACCCTTATCCTTGTCTTGTCACTAATAGCACTAGTGAGACTCAGCTCAAATGACTTCTATGAGGTGGCCCAGAAGTGGCAGGAGACAGTCACATCCTGTAGTGTGCAAAGCTAGTGCCTGTATCCATTGCTTAGTGCCAGTTGCTCTAACCCTTGCTGAGCTTCAGTGGCACTTGAGGATAGTGGGCTCTCCAGGGACCAGACGTACAAATAGCTTTGTTATATAGATGAGGTTGAGAATCACTGCATGAGACTTGCTTTTCTTTCCCTCAGGCTTGTTAAAAAATCACATTCTATCTGGACAGGTTTGGAAATGTGCTACCTCTGTTTTTCTCAGCTTGTAGGTGCTGGTTGCTCCCTAGCTGCTTTAGTTTTTTTTAGAATTAGGGACTTAATTTCCTGTTTCCCTTGCCCCACTCCTTCATACCTGGTCTAGAACCCAGCCACATTACATTGCCCAGATAGGACTATGTGTCATGAGCATGCATGGTAATAACCAGCTGTTGCTATTGCTGTGTCTGACCTAGGATGTCTCCTCCCACTATTTGGGAGTACTCAGGGACTGCAAAATCACTCTGATTGCCACCAAGCCAAACCTGGCTGGGCCAGCAAAAGTACTGTCCCAAAAAGAGTCTCATTCACTCTGCAACTCAAAACCAGAACAGAGTGGAAGTTGCCTTCATTGTTCTTCCACAGCAGGAAGAATGGCGGGTGATAACAAATGAGTTTGTATGAGCAGCAACCTAAGTTTGCATCTAGGCTCTCTTACTTGTATGCTGTGTGTGACCTTGAGCAGGGCATTTAGTATCTGAGTATCAAGTTATTTATCTCAAAAATAGGAGATCCTTTAAAGCTTAAAGGAGATAATAGTTGTGCAGTTATTCAGTAAATGTTATCTGTCTTTAAAAATGATTTCATTTAGTAAGTGCTTCTTGAGTTCCTAGAACTTCTGTAAGCCTGATGAAGAAGGTTCTCGAGGATTCAGAAAGCACAGAACTGCCTGGCTGTTGATTGGGGTGGAATGAGAAAGGATCTTATCTGTGATATATTTAAATGGCATTTCTGGTTACCAATTGAGCCCCCCCCCCCATACTTCCTTCCTTGAACTTTTGGGGAAGACATGGCCCCATTTCAAAGCTCTTTACCTTTGGTACTGTTCAGAAAGGAAACTTGTTCCTGGTTAGTGAATCACTCTTCCTGAAGCTCACTTTTTAAATGAGTCGCTGGGAGAACTCCAATGTGGAAACGATTTGAGGCTGAAAAAAAGCCAGCTCTTTGCTATCAGCTGTTTGCACAGGCATAGATCATATGCTTCCCATGGAAATGTCCTGTTCATCCACACCTATCCCTTGACTCTAAGGGAATATGCTCCCCTTCCCAGGGGCAGGTCAGGGCTTTCCCTGACCCTTTCTCTCCTCTCTGGACTCCATTTTGCAAAGGGCATCTAATAAAAACTTTTGCAGGTCCAAACACTGAACCGAACTTAACAGCTACTCAGAGTTCTCATTTATAAAATATTCTCAGTGTGTTTGGGTACAAGTCTTCTAGAGACTTCTGGAGTTAGGTTTCTCATCTTTCTTTGCAGTTCCAAAGTTTATAAAAAGTTTGTGCCTCTGAAGCTGTCACTCAAGAGTGATTGCTCACTGAGTGACTGTCAGGGCTAGAATACCAGCTGCTGACCTGTGGGAGCAGGTTTTGTTGTCCCTTGTTTGCCTCCACCCCTCTCGCCTTCCCCTTGTTCTTTCTGTGTGTCAACCCCTGCCTCTGCCAATAGAGAATGAAATTGAGGTCTCTATTTAAAAGGGAAAGCTGGCAGTTGGCTGCCAGCAGAGCATTGCCTTTGGTATGTTTTGTTTTCGTGTGTGTTTTGTTTTTTAATGTGTGTGAGACTCCTGGCCCATCAAGAATGAGAGGACTGGGGAAACAGGCTCTCAATGAGAGAATGAGGGGAAACATTGCTTTGATTCCAGTGCACAGAGGTCCATAGTCCACCTCAGACCGAGAGAATGGCTCATTCTGGAGAACATTGGCTGTTTTGATAACAACTTGCACTGTTAGGCCCTGGTCCTGAATGCCCATCTGGTGACTGAGCACCTTATGTGACACACTTTCTACCTACACTCCTTGTACTCTCCCTCATCTGCCACACCATCTACTTGGCTCTGCACAGAGCAGGCTGTGGTCTTATTAACATCCCAAAGAGCTTGTTGACTTGAGTCATCCAGCTGCCATAGGTGGCCTAGTGAGGTGCTGTCCTGACTCTGGGCTGAAGGGCTGGGATTAATGGGAAGGGAGGCAGTTAGCTGAGTCATCAGGAAGGGCAGGAGAATGACCTGTAATTTAGGAAGGGCTCGCTAGTCTCAGAACTAACCCCATACCTCTTATTTCTCCCCTGCAGTTGGAGGCCCCCTCCCCACTAAGTGCCTCCTTGCCTAGCACCGGCCCCCATCCCCACGCTCACTGGTACTACTTCGGCGGGACGGGCCATGGCGGGTCGGGGAGGAGCAGCACGGCCCAACGGACCAGCCGCTGGGAACAAGATTTGTCAGTTTAAGCTGGTTCTGCTAGGGGAGTCTGCAGTGGGCAAATCCAGTCTCGTCCTCCGCTTTGTCAAGGGACAATTCCATGAGTATCAGGAGAGCACAATTGGAGGTGAGTGGACCCAGGGAAATGGGATACCTCAGAGAGGCCAAAGAAATGCCTTGGCCTAGATAGGAGAAGCTGATTCCACACAGAGACTAAATATGTCTGAGATTGCAGCACCTCTTTCTCATTAGCCCCTAGAATTGAATCTAGTAGCTAGACTCCATGTCATGACTAGTAGGAGTTACCTGGGTTCAGCTTCTTTTTTATTGTGTGGCCTTGGCTGAGCCTTTTCCGCTGACCTGGACTCAGGGAAGGAGAAGCTAGCTCTGGATCTATGAGGTTCTTCTTACTAAAAGGAGCAATGTATCTGCCCTGGCCCCTCCTGCTTTCCAGATGGGAATGGCTGGTGAGTCAGCTGGTAATAGGTTGGCATTGCTGAAGTTGAAGTTTACCCTCTGTGGAGCTCAGTGCATATTGTCGATTCCCCATTGGTCAGTATTTAGGTTGCGAGTTAGGGTCTGGACTCAGCCTCTCACCTGAGTGGTCACTGTAAACTTGAAGCCAGGATTAGCCTTGGACTTGAGTCACCCTTTCTCTGCTCTCTTGGGTGGTAGGAGATTTCCAGGCAGCTGGAAACAAAATGAGCCATGTCAGCAGTCTTCCTGCTGCCCCTTCAGCATTCATCCAGAGCTGGAAAGGGGGAAGTGGGGCAGTGCCCAAGGCCCTTAGTAGGTGGGGGAGGGCAGACATTGAAAACAGCTTTCTACACAGAGCTGTCTGGGATCCTGTGCTGTGTCCAGGCTGTCTATTCTAGCACTGAGTATCCTCCTTTGAAGCATATGCATAAGTGCTTCACATTCCCCTGTTAGGTTCCCTGTGTTCCCTGAACATCAAGCCACAGGGTACTGAAATGGCTCTGGGTCCAAGCTGGGGGCAGTGGCTATCTGGAGTGTCTGGAAGTGCCCATCTCAACAGTTGGCTTCTGAGTACCAAAGCCTAGAAAATATGTAGGGGTAGCTTCTAACCCATCCTTGCCTGGTGACACTACCTTCTCTCTTACAGCGGCCTTCCTTACACAGACTGTCTGCTTGGACGACACAACAGTCAAGTTTGAGATCTGGGACACAGCTGGACAGGAGCGGTATCACAGCCTGGCCCCCATGTACTACCGGGGGGCCCAGGCTGCCATCGTGGTCTATGACATCACCAACACAGTAAAGATTTTCTCTTCTTCCTTGCCTTCATTTTTTTTTATCTTTTTATTTTTATTATTATTATTATTTTTAGTTGTTGATCTACCTTTATTTATTCATTTATTTATATGCAGTGCTGAAAATCGAACCCAGTGCCTCACATATGCTAGGCAAGTGCTCTACCACTGAGCCACAACCCTAGCCCTGCCCTCATCTTGAAACCCCAGGAATTGGCTATAAATGCCCCCATTTCAGGCCTTTTGGCCCTCTGTTCTTGGGTGGGATGTGGGCAGATTTCCTCTGTTAATTAGGGACATCTCATCAGAATCTTTAGGGGTGGCATCTTAGATAATTTGGCTCTGCCAGCTTGAGCTTCACTCATGAGTGGCACTGGGCAGAATGCCTCCTCTGTCTCTGACATTTTGACCCTGTCTCCTCAGGATACATTTGCACGGGCCAAGAACTGGGTGAAGGAGTTACAGAGGCAGGCCAGCCCCAACATCGTCATTGCACTTGCGGGTAACAAGGCAGACCTGGCCAGCAAGAGAGCCGTGGAGTTCCAGGTGGGGAAATGACAGGACTTGGGGATGTGTGAGCCAGCTCCATCAGGCCTCCCTGGGTTGTTCAGGGGCTGTATAAAGGGCCACACAAGGACCAGCACGCAGCTTTCATCTCCTTTCCTCCATGGCTCAACCTTGGGCCTTGGAGGAACTGCCACCTGCCTCTCCCTTGTCCTTTTTCTTTGGTGATGGGTGTGTTTGTGAATGAGTGAAGCTTCTTATTTCATCTTAAGAACTGAGTTTCCTGATAAAGAAGTCCTCTTTTCATATAATATGTGTACACAGTAAAATTTATATATTCACTCTCTTTTCTCCTTAGAAACTCAGCCTTTCTTCCCTGAAGTTCCCCAGTTTTTCTTTCCAGAAATGTCCATATGTTTGTGACTCTCTTTCTTTACATAGATGGGAGTATGCTATACATACTGTGTTTTCTAATTTCTCTTTGGGCCAGGTCCTAATTGATGGGCTTCTAGGTAGTTTGTAATAACTTCTGGTAGTTTGTAATGACAAGTAGCATCCTCATACTTTGGTGCTTTTGCCCAAATGTGCAAGTGTATTTGTAAGATAACTTCCTAGAAGTATGTCCAAGCCTGGTGATTTTGAAGGGCAAGAATGCAGAATGGACCTAGGGAAGCTAGAGTAAGGCATCTGCTTATACTGGTGAGCTACGATGCTATGTGGAATAAGAGGGCCGGGAGTGTGGAGCAGACACCTCAGGGCGAACCTGGAGCAGGAGAGCTTAGTCCTAAAAACCCTGCATTTGTCCAGTCAGTCTCTATTGTACGTAAAGACTGTGAACAGTGAAGATTTTATCTGGGGCCCTGTTAGCCCCTGCTAACATTTCCTTTCCATCCTCTTTCTGGCCTCTGTCGGGAATCAGGAAGCACAGGCCTATGCAGATGACAACAGTTTGCTGTTCATGGAGACATCAGCAAAGACTGCAATGAACGTGAATGAAATTTTCATGGCAATAGGTAAGTTGCCTCTTGTCCCCTTCCCACCATCACCAAAGGCATGTTGCTTATGTGCTATTCTCTAGTGGGTCTGTGGGGTCCCTTCAACAGAACTTGCACTTTTTTTTTAACGTTCTGATAAACTCATTGTTTTTTCCATCTGACTCCCACACGTAAGAGAACTGAGCACTGTCTGAAGCCCAAGGCAAAGTTTGAACATTTTACTTCCTGACTTTTCACTTGCCACCCATTTCAGAGCCTGCCATTGCTGTCCTTTACCCCTTCTTAGGATTTTTTAGCTCACTTGACTCAGGAGTCATCCTGCCTGGGTTCATTCCTGGCTCTACCACTAATGAGCTCTGTGGTATTTAACTTCTCTTATGCCTCAGTTTTCTGAAACACTCAAAATGTACTTGGTGACAGCAGTCCTCCATTTGTTAGCACTGATTAGTAGGTAAGGACCAGACTGCTCCAGTGCAGTTGGCAGAGAGTATTGGGGTGGCCCTACTGCTACATTTTCTCTCTCTCAAACAGCTAAGAAGCTTCCCAAGAACGAGCCTCAGAATGCAGCTGGTGCTCCAGGCGGGACCCGAGGGGTGAACCTCCAGGAGAACAACCCAGCCAGCCGGAGCCAGTGCTGCAGCAACTGAGCCCCCCTTGCCTGCCACTGCCCCCACCTCCTCCGCCTGAATGACCCGACTGGAATCCACTCTAACCAATCGCACTTAACGACTCGGGACACCACCGGGGGCAGGGGAGGGGTCCACCATGATTTCTCCATATAACTTTGATCCTAGGCCGGAGGGAGTTATTCCACCTGCACCTTTCTGTACAAATACTAATTCAATTTTAAGTCTTAAGTCACTTTTTTAATATATATGATCTTCTGCTCTTCCCACTTCCCCCGTTTCTACTATACTCTCCAGTTTGTCCTTTGCTGGTAGTAGCCACATGTTCTTGCCCCCCACCCCCTTGTCTGTGGGGTCGGGGCTTGGAACAGTTACCCCTCCCTTCCCTTCCCTCTTGCTGAAGAGCAGCCTTAGCAAGAGCATCCACATCCTTACCTTGTTGGGAGTGGTCTTAGTCTGGGGTGGTGGGCAGGCCCTGGGCTGGGAAGGGGACAGGCAGCTCTGCCCTCGGCTGGCTGTCATCAGGCTGCAGCCTCCTTCCCACCCAACTCCCAGCTGGGAGAGAAACCGCAGCATTACCACAGCATCATTGTGACAGCCACGCATCCATTACCCATGACCCCTCCACCCTCGGTCACCTGACCTCTGGCTCTGAGCCCTGTTCTGACCAAATCACGATGATGAGTATTTGGGGGTGGGTGGGTAAGGGGGGGAGTGGGAGGGGATGGAACCAACTTTTTCTGTATTTTGTATTGTATGTTTTCTTCAACATGTAACCAATCAGTATCTTGTCAATATAGTCAGCCGATCGATGGACCTCACACTTGTCTTCCTCGTCTTTCTCTGGCAGAGTTTATCAGACCATGTCCTTTCTAGTTCACTAAATTTAAAATGAACCACTGAATCTTGCTAAACAAAAGCTTCCCCCCTAACGTGAGGGGATGCTGGTGGTCATGGTAACCAAGAGAAAGAGGTTCTTGCTGTTAGCTCTGATGGGTAGCGGGTGGAATAGGACTGACTTGGGGCTGACCATGTTTGAAGTTAAGGGTCCTGCATTTGCCTCTAAACCATCCCCTGGCCTATCCCCCACCAGCTTACATTGGGGGATATATAGCTTGGGTTGAAAAAAAAAATCTTTGGACTCTGAAACACCAGAAACAACCTCTGTGTTGTTTTTTTGTTTTTGTTTTCTTGTTGTTGTTGGCTTATACCAAGCCTGTGAGGGATGGATCCTTTCAGGACTGGACAAGAGGCCAAGTCTGCAGCCCCTTGCTTTCTTCACCACTTTTGTCCTTCACTGCAACCCCTACCTACACGAAGTCCAATCCTGATCTCAGGGCTTTCTGCTAGTTCTGAAGTCAGGTCACATTTGGACCCTGCTGCTCCCGGCTTTAACTGCTGATTGGCAACTAAGGCCACACTTCCCCCTCCTACTTCTCCAAGGGCCAGAGATCTGATTCTTGGTGGACCACTACCTGGAGGTGCCTTTCCTCCATCCTTCTGTGTATAGCTCCAACCCCCTACCTCTGACGTTATCCCCAGAAAAGACAGCAGACAACTTAAGTTTGCTGCACACCACGGTGGTTGTTTACTAAGCCAAGCTAGGTTGAACCCTTCTTAGAGCCACGGCTTCTGAAACTTGATGATCCTGTTAGGGCTTCAGGAGGATGCCGCGACTGGGTTTGGCCTTGGACCCACAATTGGCCAGAAGGGGTCAGGCAGCAGGTCATGGCGGTGGGATCTAGGCCCGGAGGTAGTTGCATTTGCCGGTGCACCTTCTGTTCCATGCGGTAACCTCCCCTAACCGGGTCGGTACTCTCTATCTGCCGCTGGCCGGTCACCATCAGGTTTCGGCCGTCCACCTGCACCACCAGCTCCTCAGGGGTGAAGCCATGAGCATTCATCTTCATTTGGAAACTTTTAGCATGCTCACTGCCCTGCACAGCGACCTGATCATCCCTGAGCAGTCGCACCGGCAGTGTGGCCACCGGATTACTTTCAGCGAGGGCCACGCTGGGGCTCTGGTTGGAGAAACTGTTACCGACCTGCTGCATCCCAGTGAGCAACTGCTGTTGAAGGGCGCGAGGCTCTCTGTGCAAAGCTCAGAGCTTGGGTAGGTGCGCAAGCGCGCAAGAGGAAGTGCCTCACGAGGCCCCACCTCCACCCTAGTTCCTCGGTTCTCTTCGCAGCTGCTTAAGTCTATAGTTTGGGGTCTGCCATGCCTGTCCTACCTCCAAGTGTCAGCATGTCAACCGAGGCTGCTTTTACCTCAAACCCTCTCCCTCCCTATCTGCCTGAGAGGGCTGAGGCTGTAACAGAACTTGATCTTTGGAACCAACTGCATACATCAGACTGAGGCTCAGGGCTAGAAGAGGGCTATTTTGTCTTCTAAGAACCAGGCCTGGGCAAGGAGGATTGTTCCCTGAGCACAGTCATCAGATGGGACTTTCTCCCCTTCTCTGTTTTTCCCTGACTATGCACAATCCGGTGCTGACACATGGGGAGGGATGTGGACGTCACTCTAGCTCTGGGACCATAAAGACTCCCTCCTGGGGAGGCTTCAGCTTTCTTGGCCCTCAATCCTCAGCCTCATCCCACACCTAGTAACTTTCTTCATGACTATCGTGGTCACTGCTGTGCCTCTGATGCTCCGTGTTTTGATAATAAATTCTTTGTTGAAGTGTAACAAAAAAATGTTCAAAAGGGTTCAACTGTCACAAAACTAACACCTGTATCACCACCACATAGCATGAGATGTTGAACTGTTGTTACATTTAATCTCCCCGGTAATTGCAATTCTGTGTCTGGAGCTAGATGGAGCAGATCTTTTGACGGGAGCTGGGTGGTGGTGCTGGAGGTGACCGTGGTGGTAGTGGGTGGCCCGACCTGGCCCAAACCTGTGGGCTTGGGAGGGGCAGAATCCACAAGTCACCCAAACAGGTGCCTGTGTTCTGGAATGCTCCTTGTCCCCAAGAAGAGAGCAATCGTGACTACCCATATAGCTTCAAGAAAAATTACAAGTGAGGAGCGGTCAATCTGGGGCGCTCGCTGGGGCCTCACGTGGTTGTCCTGGACCAAAAAAGACAGAAAAGTCTGGAAAGCAGAGGCAGTGGGGAGCGGCCGAGCAAAACTACAACTCCCATCGTGCGCCGGTGCAGCGACGCCTGCGCACAGCGTGCCGGTTGCCCATGCGGCCCTAGGGCTGGGAGCGCGGCGCCGCTCCGCTGCTGGGAAGGCCATGGCGGAACCTTCCCAGGCCCCGACCCCGGCCACGGCCGCGCAGCCCCGGCCCCTTCATTCCCCAGCCCCTGCCCCAACTCCGACTCCTGCGCCCAGCCCCGCTTCAGTCCCGACTCCGGCTCCCACTCCGGCACCAGCCCCCGCTCCAGCTGCAGCCCCAGCTGGGAGCACAGGGACTGGGGGGCCCGGGGTGGGAAGTGGAGGAACTGGGAGCGGGGGGGATCCGGCTCGACCTGGCCTGAGCCAGCAGCAGCGCGCCAGCCAGAGGAAGGCGCAAGTCCGGGGTCTGCCGCGTGCCAAGAAGCTTGAGAAGCTAGGGGTCTTCTCGGCTTGCAAGGTGGGGGCGGGGCCTACTGCGAAGGGGCGGGGCTTGGGGCATCCCAGGGCTCCGGTGGAAATGGGGGCAAAGCTCTGGATACCGAGCGGCCCCAGCTCCACGGGTAAAGCGTCATACATCTGAACCTTCTGCCTCCAGGCCAATGAAACCTGTAAGTGTAATGGCTGGAAAAACCCCAAGCCCCCCACCGCACCCCGCATGGACCTGCAGCAGCCAGCTGCCAACCTGAGCGAGCTGTGCCGCAGCTGTGAGCACCCCTTAGGTAAGGCAGGCATCGCCCTTGGAGCTGGGGAGGAGGGCAGGTTCTGGATCCTGTTTGGACAGGTGACTTAAAAACTACAAAGCCTCTTAGAAAAACCAGAGATCCCACCTCAAGAGAGATTAGGTTAGAGGTGTGTATGCTCCAAGAAAGGCGAAAAGAAATCTACCAGACAAGAAGAGGCAGGGACATCCAAATACTAATATAAGGGCATTCGGTCTCAATGTTGGTCACACTGGGTAGAGGGAATAGGGTGTATCATGGCTGGTTGGGAAAAAGTGCAGGAAACCCAGTTGATTTCTGTACATTTTTCTCAACTTCATCACCTGTCCATTTTGAAGCTGACCATGTATCCCACCTGGAGAATGTGTCAGAGGATGAGATTAATCGACTGCTGGGGATGGTGGTGGATGTGGAGAATCTGTTCATGTCTGTTCACAAGGAGGAAGACACAGACACCAAGCAGGTTTATTTCTACCTCTTCAAGGTGAGCTTTCAGGGAATGAAGGTGTGAATCAAGGAGGTGACCCATTTGTGTGGGGGAGGGTTCACAGCTTTGAGCTCTGTTGCCCTCTACTCCTCTTTTTCTCTTCCCTCCAGCTCCTGCGGAAATGCATTCTACAGATGACCCGGCCTGTTGTGGAGGGGTCCTTGGGCAGCCCTCCTTTTGAGAAGCCTAACATTGAACAGGTGGGATGGGGAAGGTGGTAAGAGGAGAATTTGGGGCAGCTTGGAGGAGTGGGGAACCTCTGATGCCCTCTGTCTTCCTCAAGCCAAGAACAGGGGAGAGGTTCATAGAGGAGTATGTCCTGTGCTAACCTCAGCATGGGCATAGGGATGGGGAGGGGCATAGTGTCTCTTCACAGAGAGTCCCAGAGTGAGAGGAGCCTTGTCCCTACCCTCCTGGAGCGTCTTTATTTGGGTGAGAAGCCCCTGCTGGCTGATCACGCCTCCTTCCGGTTTCATCCCCCTACCCTCCTTCTCAGGGTGTGCTGAACTTTGTGCAGTACAAGTTTAGTCACCTGGCTCCCCGAGAGCGGCAGACAATGTTCGAGCTCTCAAAGATGTTCCTGCTCTGCCTTAACTACTGGAAGCTTGAGACACCTGCCCAATTTCGGCAGAGGTCCCAGTCAGAGGATGTGGCTACCTACAAGGTCAATTACACCAGGTAGGTCCAGCCAGGCACTCATGGGGGAGGCTTGTGAACCAGGTTCAGTGGTTTCCACCCTCACCTGCCAACCCTCTACCTCCAGATGGCTGTGTTACTGCCATGTACCCCAGAGCTGCGATAGCCTCCCCCGCTATGAGACCACCCACGTCTTTGGACGAAGCCTTCTACGGTCCATTTTCACTGTTACTCGCCGGCAGCTGCTGGAAAAGTTCCGAGTAGAAAAGGACAAGCTGGTGCCTGAGAAGAGGACCCTCATCCTTACTCAC